CCAATATCTTAATCTCATAAAAAATGAAATACTGGTTTGACAAAAAATTATTTCCTGTAAAACAACATTAGCTGACATTAATTATACTGTTAGCCTTTGCTTCTGTCAAATGAATCCCATATCAAGTTTTCCATTATTTTGTCCAGGACTGAAATCCTGCTAGCCAGACTATTGCTACTTGTGTCAACCTCATTGCCATACCACTTTTTGGGATATTGGCATTTTGACACTCAGTTTTCTGGATTTTTTCATTATTCCTAGATTGAATACAAGTTAATAGTAAGGACCCTGCTTAAAGATAAAAACTTTAAGACTCTTGAAATTATCTTAGCTAGCTGATTTAAAGATGTTTACCTCTGATAGAGAGTATTCCTACTTACCTATTAATGAACTGGAAAGTACTACATCATTTTCATTTTTTTGTTTTTCAAAATACAGAAATATTTATTGCACATGGTTGCCTTTTTTGCATTATTATTAATAATGTTACTATATCTAATGAAGACCCTAGCCTATTGCTAGGTTCATTGTTTCTAAGATACTTTAAATAACCGTCTCTCTTTTTTGTCCTTATTCCTCCCAGCCCTTGAGTGTTTGGATGATATTTTTAGCTTTCTTTATCAATTTTATATTTTTAATAAATAGAATTTGGTTGAGCTATTTTTTGTGAAAATATTTTCTTGAAAAATGATGATTAGTCAAAATTGTTACTGTTGAAAGGAAAATAGCTCAATTCAAAAAAATTTCCCAGCTCAAAATATTGAAATGGTTTTGGAATGGTTGGTTCCATTTTGACCTTTTTTTTTTAAATAAAAAGCTTGGATTTTTTGGTTTAGAACAACTGTATGTATACTAAAAAGGATTAAAGAAAATTCAAAGACAAAAGATCAATCAAAGCCATTCATATAAGTCTGTTTTTCCTTTCAGTATGTCTGTTCAAGAATATCTTTTTCACCTGCCTTTGTAGATGAGAAAAAACTCCAAACACTCATATTTTTGTAGTGTGGGAAAAATTTCCTATGGCTTCTCATTTCACTGCTTGCCATCCACATCCTTTTATTATTTGCTCTATGCTGCTCTTTAGCATTTGACTGAAACTCAAGGTTCTTAATTTTTCTTCATGTTGTGGACCATTGTATATGGCTAGGTCCTGCGCCACCAAAAATAACGTGAATTTTTGCCATTGATAACAATGGCATTTGTGTGATCATACTAATATGCCACTGTGGGAAACTGTTGGTATGGCTCTTCATTTCAAATGGCAGTCTTTGACACACCATCATGATACTGGCTACATAGACATAACTAATGCTTTCACTGATAAGCTGCAGTTATATTGTTTAGTAGCTCATTATCCTTAATCCCCAATTTATGCTTTAAGAGAGTCATTCCATCTTCAGAATTTTGAAGTATTTATGTAGGAATTTAGGGGTGGGGGGCGCAAATATATTATAGCATTCTGACAAAAAGTAGCTTTGTTCATTTACCCTTCCTATCTGCTTCTAAATCATCATGCCTTATAATTTTTATTTCAGACGACATTGTTATGCTCATTTGGTTTTAGGCAGCAAATGAAAAGGAACAACCATGGAGGAAGTAATGTATGACTTAGCAATGACTAGACTGCTAGCTTTAATTCAGGCGATCTGACTTCACTTCTGAAGGCTGTCAACACTCCCTTTAAAACAGATGCTCATACAGCAATAATCCTGCAGCATTGGAGGGGGCAAAAGATGACTTTCAGTAACTGTTGATTCAAAGAAAGTAGAAGAGCTGTTCCCCTTTTAGCTGTAGGGAAAGTGCTCTATTGCTGTTTAGCACATTCTTATTAAAGGATGACAAGATATGGTACTTCTGTTAACCATATCAGTACTTTTGAGAGGTACTAGGACAAATTTCTGTCTGCCATTGCCCAGTTGTACTTCTTGGAATTATACTAAGAATACACTTGGCGTCTAAGTTTGGTGGGAAAACCACATAATGTTCAATTAATCTCCACATAGCAGATGATCAATATTATATATAATCAGTTACAGAATGGGTGATGTATAACCATTTATATCCAATTACATTACAGGCAGTATGACTAGTAAATTATTTCACAAGGAAAGTTGTGTCTGGCTACTAAATATCTAGTTAAACATTGATCTGACTTTTGTTTTTAAATCACTCTTGCCTCCCTTGGGATACAGCAAGGTGGGGAGGGGGAACTCACAATAGAGGAGAATGCTGAAACAATAGTCGCAACGATTTTCTGCAGACACAATCCATAAATCAAGTCAGTTTTTTTATTTGCCTTGGTAACAATCATTTGCAACCTGAACTTAGTTAATTCTTAGGTTGATTATCCTCAAGCCAGAGCAGAATAAAGCTTACTCTTGGGTAGGTGTGCTGGTGCTGTGGTACCAGCAAAAGTAAAAGGTAGCATAAACTTTCTTTGGAATGGTTGACTAAGGTAAAAAGAAAAAAAAAATCCTTCTAAATAGATATCTCATAATGGTGAATCTAGGCAACGATGCTGCATTGCTTTTTGTTATTCTCACACATGGAATTAATGCATCTGGGAGAACTTAAGACATGAAATGTAACATAACATTGGCCTCTCTGCCCACTTTTCCTCAAATAAACATGCCTCAGAGAGGAGAAGGGATGAATCCCTGGAAGCAGTGTACCCTCGAGTGTTAATTATTCTATGCACCAGCTCCAATACTGGTCTCTGAACAAAAACAAACAAGACTTTAAAAGCCTCAGCTTGCTCTGGGACTTCACACTGCAGTGGGGGTTGGGCTCTGAAAGCAAATTAGCAGTGAAACAGTACACACTTGCATGTGGTAAAAATTAAACATGATTCAGTGAGTGAAATTGAAAAATCATGTTCCACTACTCCGCAAGGACTGATAAAGTAGGATTTTTACCTCTAAGTAGAAGTGACACTAACACACAAGTGTAAATCAACATCTGATGAAGAGACACAGGCTCACAAAACCTTATACAGCTCTGATTTAGTTAGTCTATAAGGTGCATTTCTACCAAGCCTTCTCCCCAACTTCTGCAGGTACAAGGTAATCTAAGGGTTAGTGACCATCGATTGAATTCACTATCCGCTGAAGGGTGGGTAAACTAACAAGCAGGGCTGAAGTGCAGTACATGTGGAAATGGTGGCTCTCATACTAGTTGTTATCTGAAAGCTTCCAAATTTGTGAGGCAGAAAATGTGTTCCCTTCCAGACTGGGGATCAGTGCCTGAAGGACAAAACCTTTGTTTTCTGGCACAGACTTAATACAAATGGAAAAGTGATTGCCATGGGCCAATGACTGTGGTCTACTCAAAAAGGTCTGAGGATAGAAGGGTTATGCTAATCCCCACATGATCAAATGTGTGGCAATTATTCAGAATAGCAAAAGAAAAATTGTAGCTGTGGATTATCTGGTCATTTGGCTAAAACAAGCCTAAAAGATAAACTCTTTAGTTCTGCTGGATCTATAAGAATTTTTTTTAACCTTCTGGAGTATCATAAACTGCATATTTACAAGGAGTTCAGCTGTTCCTATCACAGTGGCAAGCTTGCAATCCTAGAATATTTCAACACAGAGTGAACACCGGCATCAGACCTTTGAATCATTATTACTTTCCAGAGGTTTTCAGTCTACTACTCAAGATTTCCAAGGGAAAGTACCAAACCCTAGAAAATAAAGGGGACTTAAATTTCCTTTTCTTTCCATTTGATTGCCAAAGGCAGGGTGAAGTCTGAGCTCACTTAGGCTAGGAGCAGATGCTGTATTTGTCCCAGGACAAGTCGTGCCTGTCTTTGTCTTAGAAGAGAAAAGTCCCAGGATTGGCATGTACACATATCACCCTTCCAACTGGGATTTAGTGAGCTGCTAAATGCGTTGTTGCTTTTCTGCCATTGACTCAATAATGCAATCCCAGGCCAGCAGGTGGGATTGATCTATTGTCTTTTGAGGAAGACCAAGACGATTCCATGACCAGGGTTCAGTTCCTGGGTCAGTCACAGAATTATTTGAAGTGTCACTTATCCCTAAATCCCTCAATTTTTCTTCTGTAAAATGAGGATAATATTGAATTGAACAGCAAGAACCTGTACCCAGGAACCTCTGGGTTTAAGTCGCAGCAGGAACATTGGCACGTGCCAGTTGAAATCCTCAGCTTTGACTGTAGCCAACAGTCATTGCCTGAGGAATGCAAACTCTCCCCTGCCCTGATACATTGCATAACCCCACCACATATATGTGTTAAAACATGGGGCCCAAAACTGCGCACACTACTCTAGATGAGGCCTAACCAGTGCTGAGTAAAGCAGGACTGTAACCTCCTGTATCTGGCACCTAAAGCTTCTATTGATGCATCCCAAAACTGCATTCAGCTTTTGAGTGGCTGTATCACATTGCAGACTCATGTTAGGACTCCCAGATCCTTCTCTGTAGTGCTGCCAGCCAGACAGGTGTCACCCATTTTGTATTTTTATTTAAGATTATTCTTCCTGAGGTGTAGCACCTTGTAGTGAATTTTGTTCTGCTAGCTCCAGCCCAGCCTTCCAAATCCTCCTGAATTGCAGTCTCATCCTTGAATATGTTTGTAATACTTCCCAGTGTGGTGTTGTTTGCAAAGTTACTCAAGAAGCTCTTCCCTTGAGCATCCAAATCATCAGTAAACACATTGAACAGTACTGGACCCAGGACAGACCTCCACTCAAAACCTCCTACCATCCCAATATGCATTTATAATTACCCTTTGCTTGTGGCTATTGAGCCAGTTGTCTATTCACCTTATAGTAGGTTTGTCCAGCTCCCATTTCTCCCACTTTGATCAATGATGGAGAGGCATGAGAAAATTTGGGTGGAGGGGGAGTGGGGGAAGAAACAGTGAAGACCACTGAACAAATAACCTTTTTTCTCCCTGTTGAAGAAAGCTTCATTTCAACTTCAGGAAACAGAACTTCTAAAAGCCACAACAAAGCCACAAACGTGCTCTTTGGTAGATTACTTTTAAAAATCTTTTTAATGAAGAAATAATTCCATTCCAAAATATAGACACACAATTAAATAGTTTAATCACTTCAAAATATAACATGTCCCCAGTAGGTTCCAACACACACACAAAACAATACTTAACAGCAATACAAAAAACCCATACAATAGTAGTTCTGTTACAATACCAATGAATAGTGTGAAATCTTTAGTGTCTCTGTCTCAAGTGGTGTCAAGTACAGTAGTTAAAAATGTCTTACAGTTAGTAGCCTCAAGATGTAACTCTTCATACATTTTTGGTTCAAAGGTAAAAGTTACTTTTCCCTTCAGGACACAGTGGAGTGCTTGCTGTTTACGGCTCCTTCTGCTGAATTGAACCAATGTAATTGCAGCAACCTGAGGTTGCAATATTTACAAGGTCTATCTACAGTAATTGCCAAGACCAATAAGGATGGAAGAAGATGGCTAAAAGTAAAGGCAGACACACCTGTGTTAAATAATGAGGCAACAATTTGGCTCATGCATATAAGAAAATACATATTATATCACAACAAAGGCCACACACCTTTTTATGCAGTTTAGTTAATGTTACTACTTACAGATAACCCATTGTCCACCTTCATTTTGAACATTCAAGAACCCTATTCATCTTCACACTCCTGTCTCCTGCTTCTCAATTTCCCTTCAGTAACAGTAAACCACTTGGGGAGTTTTGACTGCTGTGCTTGGCCATTTTGTAGTTACAAAATGGCCAGTGCTGGGGACCATTTCTGTAACTTTGCTTAATGACAACAAAACACAATCAAAATAATCTTTAACAAGATGACAAAGAACAGCCGGGTTAAAATGTAGCCAGCTTGATGCTTCAAAAATGTTTAAAATAGAGATCTGGAGAGCCAAATAAGAAGTGCTTCATTTCAGAGTTCTGAAGTACAAGAAGTCACCTAGAACTCTGTTTGGGATTGCCTCGCTGACACCAGCCCGAGAGAGAGGGGCTTGGCTTGTCAACTTTTGTCATTACTATGGGTCCTGAAGCCCTTCCAATGGATTCATACTATTGCACCTATTTCAGACATGATGATGGTGTGTACACAGACATTAGGCTTATGTAATGTAGTTATTACTCCAGGTACAATTAAACATGACATGGGTTGAATCAGTCAGCCATGACATATAATTGTGTTCTTGCTCAGTTTGTCTTTGTTCAGGAAATGCTTGACAGGAATCCTGAGCTGACAGCAACATTTATAATTTCACTGCAGTAGTTTTAAATGTTGAGTGCTAGGCACTAGTGGAGTCTCACCCATTCCTGAGAGGCGGTTGTAGGAGAGGTATGGCATCAAAGGGTATGATGCCTACCTTTTCTGGCTGGCACATACCACAGAAGCAAAAAACAGTGATTGGGGAAAAAAAAAAACCTAGAAAAAGACATCTGGTAGCAATAGTGTCCGTTGATTTGGGTGTCTGAGACCACACTCAGATATACAAGGAGTTGTGGACAAGAAATCTGCATAAACAATAATACGAAACTGAAAAATTGCAGTAGCTCTTTCATACCCAAAAGCAGTCTCATTGAAACAGCCGTGAGACTAAAGACTGCCTGCAGACTAACACCGATTTAATGTATTGAGACAAGCTACGCATCAGTCTAATTTATAAGTGGTAGGACACATCCTTAGATGTTACCACAGAACAGAAGTTAGACATGTATTGGGTTGTTTTAAATCAATACCTTATTACTCACTGTTAGTAGGTTGTGCCAGATATGGAATATCTGTATGAAATCATACTGTTTTCAGGGCCGCTAGACAGTGTAACTTTATTCAGAAGTAATAACCTATGTGTGAGATATTACTAAATACTTTGCTTCAATCCCTGCTCAAAACTATATGTTGGATAATAGTAATGGTAGGGCAAGCAGCTTATAGCTAGTACTTCCTTTTTATAATCCTGAATGATAAAAAAGCCTCATTTTCTCCTTGAATTCTCCAGGGCTAATATAAAATGTTAAGAGTTACTTACAGGGACAAAACTCCAGCTTTGTAACTCTATGCCTATTCTCTCAGAAACATCCACTGCTTTTCTTGTGCTTTTCCCTGATAGCTATGTCTCCATTCAGCTCTGAAAGAGAGTCTCACTACACATTTCCAAGAGTGCATGCAGAACATCTGGTGGCTGGCTAAGGCAATACACATTTGGAAATAAAAGAAAACAGTTGCAAGCACACTTTTAAGCCTGTACATTTAAAGCTGAAGGCCTCAAAAATAACATGATGGATTTGGAGAAAAAATGGGAAGAGCCAGTCGGTTGAACACATGCTTACTAAAGCTAAAACATCAATGAAACAATACCATGGAAGGTTATACATAACTTCAGTCAGTTCAGGGATCTTATGGCACCTGTGGTTTATAAACAGCTTTAGTAACGAGTATTTCAAAACATAGTTCACAGTTTTAAGAAGATCTGTGCTGATTTAAAAACTAGATTCTATATAATTTGAATGTTGCCATTTGTATATGATATTTATTTGGAAAAAATATTTACACTAACTTCTATGGCTGATTTTTAGATTATTTTGAAAGAAAACATTCCTAAGTTACACGTTAGCCCTAAATTAGAGAGGTTTTTTTTTTTCTTTTACTGCATTTTGTACAAGTCCTTTTATGTAAAGACTTGCAAACAAATTGCAGATAGAGCCTGGTACTTTGCTTTTGGGCTACTAGATATATACACTCAGGAGTATAATCATTTATTGTTAAATGCATAATTGTAGCTTTTTATTTCTTCTGTGGAAAAAATGTACAGTGTATAGTAAACTGTTCTACTAAAATCTCAAAGTATTCAGAAATCAAATTCCTATCTATAAACAGTATTAATATTGTCATTGTAAACTGAACAGGTTCAACATCATGTGCAAAGGGTTTACATGTTTAGTTAGTATTGCTGTTGTTTTGTAACAGCAGTACACATTTCAGCCTGTGTTCTTCACCAATAATGAGCCATGTTACAGAAGATGTAGCTAATAAGAGTTAGCTTTAAACAAAAGTCTTTTTCTCAAAACACACACCTACAGACTACAACTCTTAGAACAAAAGTACTGTGCTACAGTCCTCAGAACTTAGTCAGTCACTTGATTTTTTTGTCAAGAGACGCTGCACCTGTTGGTTCCATTCTTCTGTGAAGTTTGCAGCTAGGTTTTCATCATCATCATCTGTTCGAAGGCAGCTCTCCTCATCATCAGTTCGTACATAGCTTTCATTGTCTGCCTGACTGCAGCTTGCCTGTGAAACAACATATAGGACCATTTTTCAAAAGGAATGTTGTCTGCTTCCATTTCCTTCCTTACATAGCCTCCCAGAGATTGCTTCCCCCCAATGTAAAGGAGGTGCAGACACAAATACATGCAGCCCCTCAGCTTGTTGCAACCTTCCTTGTGTAGAATTGAAGTGGGCTGGAGAATCTCACATTGATTCTCCACACTGGTGCATTTTTCTGTGTATGTAAAGTTGATCTGCAATTAAATGTAACCATCTGATAAACAATGCTGGCCTTCATAACCAAAGTAGGATGCTTCTCTCTGACTTAGTTTCCTTGGTGGTGCTTTTTCCTATTCTGCAGGATCAGTAACTTCTCACCTTACGAGAATGGGAGGCTTCCTAGTTTTATTCAGCGATGGGAAAAACGGTAAGGTATTTGGAAGTTCTCAGTGCCGCAGAGGAATACCCAAGGGCCTAGGTTAAGGTAGCATTGTAGATGCTTTTGCTTGACATATTGAACCTGGAGTTTTCCCCCTCCTATTTGAACCTCACCACCAAAGGTTCATGGGACCATTTTATCCTTTTTCTTGTGAACTTTCTCAATTAATCAAATCTATGTTACAGTAGAACTGATTGTAACATACTGGACTGGAAAGTATGGATCCAGACCCTCTGCCGTTCATGCCAGATGAAAACTGTGTACCTAGTTTTAGAGCTAAAATGCAAAATGTTTTGATCAACAAAGGATCTATTAAATATGGTGAACAGAGGTAAGTCAGGGTGAAGTTATACGTTATACTTAGCCAATCCTAAGGGCACTTAAAAAGCAAGCATCTGCTTGTTAAAGCTTGGTAACCTGTGCTAAGTACCCTCTGAGCGCCTCAAAGTTATGCCACTTCTGGCACAGGTTAACTCTAGCCATGCTAACTAGCTCATGTTAGGACAACTTCAGTCTGCTCCATGGAGACAAAATGAACAATTTGCAGTCCCCCAGCATCCCAGGATTCACTGCTCCCAGCCCTCCCTCTTCTCCCTCAGAGCAGGAATAGAACCCAGGTTTCCTAGCTCCTAGCCACACCCCTGCTCATCAGCCCTCTCCTGGCAAGTAGCAGCTGTGCAGGCAAGAAGTAGTATTAACCCTTAATGTGTGACTGCACACAGCAGGTGCATCCAGACGTGTGTGGACATTTGGTTCCCCAGGGACAAATGGAAGTAGTGCACTTTGCACTGCCGCTACTTGTCCTGGGGAATGCCTGTGCCATGCATGCTTACGCACGCGGCAAGTTGCCCTGGGTGGGGTAGAAGAGGCTGGGGCCAGCATTGGGCTGGCCCCAGCAACCTTATTTGTGGTCCTGGGGCCACAGCCACGGTGATTCTGCTGCATGGAGCTTGGCTCATAGAGGAGCACAGCTCTAGGTGGCTTGGCTCCACTTTTCAGCAGCGTGCGTTGGCCAAGTGTATGTTGCTTTGTTTTTTTTCCTGTGGTTTTTTTTTGACCCCTGGATATAAAGGGGTCAAAAAAACCTGCAGAAACACCCCCCACCCAGTGCAGTGCATGCTCCACCAGTGTGCCTTTGTGGTGTGGAGAACACCAGACTGTACAGTATGTGGTGCTGCAAACATGTTTGCAGTGCTACATACCTCACAACCACGCTCGTCTAGACATACCCAGCATGTTCAAACTTTAACACTACTTAACCTTCCACAGGTTTAGTAGGGTCTGAGTGTAAAGTGTAACTTCACCCTTAGGTAGTTACAGTTGTCCCTCTTTCTCAAAGTGTTTTAATTATCCTAAAGGAGATGCTTCTGAGAGACTCTTGCAATATCTTGTCATGTCCAAAGGAATTAAAAATGGTATATTGATCTTTATCTCCTTGTTTCAGTCAGTCTTAAAACCTGAACATTAGTTTTATTTGACTGATAAATTAAAGAAAAGTGCATAGACATTAGTGATAAGAAAGCCTCAAAACCTTTTGAAGTTTACTTTGAATAAACATTTAAAAAAGGATCTAACACTTCTCTGCATTTAAGCCCACAGACATTGCTGGAAATCTCATTTTAAAAAATCAGGGCAGGATTTGGCACTTGCCTTCAGATCTGGATAGTGGCACAAAATTAAATAAAGGGCACTTGAAGAGGGAGGGCAATTACTTTTTTTTTAACTTCTAAATGTTCAGTTTGCATTTGAGGCTGGTGTTTATTTGCTAATTTTAGGACTATATAAATATAGGCATCTCATAGCTCTTGATAGCATCATTATAAACCACAAGAGGCATATATGAATGTTTTATGAGGCAACCAAGAACATTCAAATGCATTTATGATATACTATGTAGCCCTGAACAAGTATTTGTGGGATGTGGAGGGGTCAGTCTAAATTTCCTGGATGTTTGTTTCTGTTGCACACCTAGCAGTAGGACGAAGACATAGTTTTATACAAGAAATTTCAATTACCAATGAATCTTAAAATTCTATACAGAAGTATTGTGATAATGCCATAATCAATCACAAGCTGAAGCTCAAACAGTTTGTAATATTGTAATAGCTTACTCACTGGAGCCTGGTATGTATAATTTAATGCACAGGCTCTTCCTGTTACTGCATGCATGCCAGTGTTTTTAATAACCCAAGTTTTCAATGTTAAAGTTGAAAAATAAAGCACTGAGGCTATCAAGTTGAAGTTGTTCCTCCCTGTCAAGTTGGGTTATTAAAAGCACTGGCCTGCATACAATAAGGTGGGAGGGCGATCCCCACTGCTCACCACTTCCCTGAGGCTGCTACAGCATGGGGTCGCCCCTCCCTCGCCTGGCAGCAGCCGGTAAATGGGGGCTTCTTTTTAAACACCCGGGAGCTGGGGTGGATGGGGCAGCTATGGGGGGACTGGAGGAGCAGGCGGGGGTTAGGGGGGTG